TTGGACAGGCTTTAATGAGAATGGAATTCTCCAATTATGGTGAGATGATGGAAAGAATTGTCCATGGACTAGCTTCTTGCTTTGTCCTCCCTACATTTAAAACCTTGTTTCTGCTCTTCTACTACCTTTTCCAAGTTTAGGGAGCCATAGGACAAGCTTACATTATAATACACCTTCTGGATCTTGCTTTTATGTCACAAAGTTGGGTGAGTTGGCACAGTGGGTGGTAGGAATATTCCTGGAATCCATTCCTACTCCTGAATGGCTAGCAATAAGTTCATTATACACAGTAATGTCAACAGACAACTTAAATATATGCAACTAAACCCAAATGAAATGTGTACTTTTAGATAGGACCCCAAAATGCCCATAAATTCTATCCAACACAAGGGAGAATTGGACTATAAAAAGGCAAGGGTTCTAACTGATTGGTTAAAATAATTTATTTTGGGAAAAAAAAAACCCAAAAAACTAGACCATGTGCACTTATTTCTAGGACTCCTTCCAAAGTCTTGGAAGAGGCTCATGCAAGGGAAGGGACCTGAAGTTTAAACTCATGATGCTTCATGGTGCTTCAGCCTTTGGTGGCAAGCTCTTGGTACATATGTTGTTGTATGATCACATATGTATAAAGACAAATACATATGTCTATGTAAAGAGACTGGCCCTGGTGCTTCTTCAGATGCGCCAGGTAAATAGCCTCACGAGCAAGGGATGTTTAACCTGCACTGCAGATAGAGTTGAGCTCAACTAGGTATTATCTCCTCAAGAGGATTTAAGTAAAGAACAGGCCAGGAGGTTACCTCTAATCCCATCATCCATGGTATGATCCAATCTCCAGCTCTCCTCTCCCTCTTGACCTGCCTCATTTCCAGTGTTGGAGCAAGGTAGCCAAGAGTACAGCCTCTAAAGTCTTTTTGCCTGGGTTCAAATGTGACTCGTGACCTAAGCTGATCATCCCTGAGACATTAATGGTGAGATCTAAGATAACTGTTCTGGTTACGTAGTGCCACTCTGACAAGAATATACCACAAATGGGATGGTCGTAACAAACAGGAGTTTATTCTTACAATTTGGAGGCTTTAAGTCCAACTTCAAAGTGCCAGGCTCTAGGGGCTGAGTGAAAGCCCCTCAACCTTGGGGTCCAGCTCTGCCTCCTGCTCCCAGCCCACTGGAGCTAGAGGCGTGTTTTCACTCAGACAGCTGGTTGCTGCTGAGGCTGAGAAGCCCCAAGGTTGACAAGTAAAAAGGCACAGTCCTGATATTACCAAACCACATGGCAGGCTATTAACTTAAGTCCATTGTAAGTTCCAAAGTCAGCAGAGCATGGCAGGCTGCTGAGCAACAACATGGCTACATGCAGGGTCCAAGTGTACCATATGCTGGAGACCATTCCCAAGGCTTCTCCTTAAATACAGGAAGCAGACCACATACCCAAAGGCAGCTAGCTACTCAGCTGCTCCTACTAGATTCCACCATGGAGTTGATTACCAGTCTCATCATGGGGAATAACTACCACCAGCTGCCCAGCCACTCAACCAGGCCCAGCCAAGTTGACACACAAACATAACCACCACAATAACCTCCGAGTTACTGGAGAAGAATGGCATGTAGGAAAGAGTGAAGCCAAGAGGAGGCAAAAAGAAGGATGGGCAGAAGAGTAAGAGGGGCTCCAGACCTGGTTCCCCCAACTCATAGAACATCTGTGATGCATGTAGTTCTATTTCCACATGTCCTATGTCCTAATGCAACCTTTTTGAGGTTTAAGCTAGTTTGAATTTGGTCTCTGTCACTTGCAGCCAGAAGTGTCTTGGACAAAATCTGCCCCACACCTGCTTCTTCCCCTGAAGTCCCCATCTTTCTAATAGTACCATTGCCCTCTCAGAAGTAAACCAGAGGCCTGAAGCCAGACTTGGCTCCTCTTCTCTCTGTTTTTCTTCTCCCACAGGGCCTTCATATACAGTTGCAAAGCTGTTCACTGCACAAGGGTGACCACTGAAGTCCAGCTTGCTCTCAGCTTGCTTAACTATGAAGCCCAGTGCAGGGCAGTATTCCTAGGGGAGAAGGGTTCTTCTTAGAAAATTGCATACTGGCTCCCTGTGGGATACTGGGGCCCCTTTCCTATATGCAGTTGTTCCCTCAGTTCAGGAAGCTCTGCCCATCCTCTATTCACCTGATCAACTACCTTCTCATCTCCAATGATCATCTCTCATTGCACCCTTTACTTTTCTTTATAATACTCCTCACTGTCTATAACAATGCATTTGTTCATTTGGGTATTTGTCTAATGGCTGTTTCCCCCACTGAATTGTAAGCTCTGGGAGGGCCAGGACTGTGTCCTCTATGTTCTCTCCTATGCCCTCAACACCTACCCATTATTTAGCCTAACTGCCTCCAATCTTATGCCTCTTCCATCCGCAGTCACTGCCCCAGTTCACAACCTATCATTTCTCATCTGAGCAACCCTGATATCCTCCCAACAGGTCTTCTTGCCTCAAGTCTCATTCCATTCTGCAAGCCCACACTGGCCTTTCTAAAAGAAAGATTTATTTTTATCATTCCCCTGTTTAGATTCCTCAATGGCTCCCTATTGCCCTTAGGATAAAGCCCAAGCTTCTTAATATCATTCATGAAGTCCATTGTGGCCCTACCTCTGCCTTCTCCCCATCTCACCTCTGGTCCCTCCTTGTAAGCATTTTTGGTTTCATGAAGGCACAGTTTGCTTCTTTTGTCTGTGGGCCTTTGCACTTGCTGTTTCCTCAGTTTGAAATACCCTTCTTTGGCCCCTTTCCTAAGTAACTCTCCCTAGGCTCTTATCAGATTTACCTGCTTATCTATACCTCCCCCAGGCTGATTAGGAGCCCTTCCACTCTGCTCCTATGGTGTTCCTCTGCCACATACACCCCATTACAGCCATTAATTCATTGTGATGTAACCAGCTGCTCCTGGTCTGATTCCCCCAAATGTCTGGGTGCTTCCCAAGGGCAGCAACTGTGCAATGGTCTCTGATTTCACCCAGGGCAGGACCTGTGTCTATTGAATGAATAAATTCCTAAATGAGCCCTAGGGGGTCTCAAAGGAGCAAGGGACATGTGGGGAAGCAGCCAGCAGACGAGCTGAGGATCCTCAGTAACAGCAGTTTTGGGTGGCTCCTTGGGGACTTTGTGTTGGGGAGAGCAGAGGTGGCTGAACAGATCTTCAGATGTGATGAGGACTTTCCTTCTGGCATTGCATCTTGCCTGTATTCCTGGGCATCCCCAACGTGGCAAGCAGAACTCTTGGAAATGGGGCCACAGGGCCTTTAAGGAAAAAAGGTCTGTTGAGGTGGGATGTAGGAAGCGCTATATGGTCCTGCTGGCAAGCCTGTGTGTGTGTGTGTGTGTGTGTGTGTGGTATATGAGTGAAGAGGGACTCTTGCCGGGCCATCTGTCCCAGGGACCTTGGATCCAGGGGAAGGCCGAGGTGCCTCGGTGTGTGTGTGTGATCTCTTCTGTGGGTGTGCATGAATCTGGGCATTGTATGTTGTCTGTCCTTGTTTCTCAAGACAGATCAAATGGCACCTCCTCCAAGAAGCCCTCCCCAACACCATGGCTAAATAAATGGCTTCCTCCTTTGCTGTCAGAGATTTGGTGCCCTGATGAGGGCACTTGATCAGCCCTATGACATATGCCCTCTCCTCACAGGCTGAGCTACAGCCTTATGAGATCTCAGACAACGCCCGGATCCTCTAAGTGCTTGAGTAGAGTCATCTGTGCCTATCTGGGCTTTTCTGCTGTCCCTCTGTGGTTACACCTCTCACTAACAGCCTATAAGTACCTTACAGCTTACAATGACCCTTCACACTCATTAAGTTTGTTTCTTACAGGGCTGTGAGCATCAGATCACACAGATGGGGACCAGATTTTCCAGTAATCCTTCTGGACATGAGACCTATGGAAGGGCCCTGATTCTCAATCTTGCAGGCTTTCAGAAGCACCTGAGGAGCTTCTGAGAAATACCAATATCAGCTCACCTGGATACATTAAACCAGACTCTCTAGGAGTGGGGTCAGGCCTGGGCACTGTTTCTAATCACTCAGATAAACCTCATGTGCATTCTGACAAAAGGATCATTGACCTGTGTGTGGTGATATCGAGGTCAGAGGACTGTCCCCAGATACATGAGACATGGGTAGCACCCTTTTCTTCCTTCCCTGGTAGCAGGCTTCCTCCTCGCAATCCTTTTGCCGCCTACAGAGGTCGCTGCAGGGCAACTGGCCCAGTGGATTTTTCTCCGGGTCAACTTCCCGCTCCCATCCCCAAGGAAAGCCTGAGCCACCACCGTATAAATAGCGTTTTTATTTCGAACACCTGAGCGAGCGCCCGCGGCCCGCCCACCTGTAGTATAAACAAAGCTCCTGTCGCACCGCACACCATGCCTCAGAGATAAATACAGCCCTAGGGGCTCCTGCTCTGGCAAAGCAACTCTTATTTACAGAAATAGATTACAAAAGTATTACAAAAAGTGGTCCTGAACCGGAGAGGGAGGGGAAGAGGGAGGTTACGGTTACACCTGTTACACTTGGGACGCGAGCGCATTCCGTGAGAGGTGGGAAAGCATGGACGTCGTGAGGGCTCCAGAAAGAAAACATTACGCTCCCATCAACGTCCTGGGCGTCCTTGGGCGAGGCTTGATCTGCTCGGTCCCACCCCGCCATCGGGTTGGGGTGAGGAAGACAACGGGCCTGACCCTTCAAAGATCAGCTCTGGCCCACTAAGAACTCTGAATTGCCACCGCAGCGCAGCTCAGAGAAGGGTGCTGCCTGGGAATAAAGGACTGTGTCCTTGTCCTGGGGGACGGGAGGACGGAAACACACTTCAGTTCCCCCGCCTCTCCCACCTCGGGAGGCGTCGCTTTTCAAGCGCGCTTGGGGGAGGGGTTGACACTTAAACTTACTCTTTTGGGCGCGAGGGACCCGAGGGGCACCATCCCTTCAGCGGGTGGCCAGCAGCGCCCCCCACTCAGAGCACCTGGTAGATCCGGTTGGGATTCGCGCCTTCCGGGCACTGTGTGGCGCCGTCCGGGGATGGGATGGGGGCGCTGAGCTCGCCCTCGCTCGAAGCAACCGCCTCTGGTGGGCGGGAGGGCGACTCCGGTGGCGCGTCGGTCAAGAGAGGCGCGGGCGCCGCGGGGCTTTCGGTGGAGATGCGCTCCACGATGCTGGACAGACAGTCGAGGCTCGACACGGCCGCGCCCTTCCCCGGCCGGGATTCTGCACGGGGAGGGGTGGGTTAATGTGCAGGGTGAAGCCGCAGACCGTCTCCCACCCCAGGGCCCAGTGCTTGGGGGCAGGCGGGAAACCGAGGGCCTGCCGGAGTCCCGAGCCGATTAATAGAGTGTGCGGGGCGGGAGGGGAGGGCGACACTCCCTGCACCACTCCGCAGGACGCGTTTGTCAGGGGAGGGGGTTCCCACGTGGAGAGGCCAGAATGCTCGAAGGGGGCGTGGGAAGGAGAAGAGCGCAGGGCGAGGTCTGGATACGCACCGCTGGGCGTCTCGCTGTAGTAGGCGCCGTCATAGCAGTTCCGCCGCCGGGCGCCGCTCGGGGGGCCGCTGTAGTCCATCTGCAAACCGCGAGGGCACCTTAGGCCCGCAGGTCCGCGCCTGCCGGCGCGCTACTCCCAACAGCCACCCCTCCCCAACTTTCCCACCCTCAGCCAGAGTTCTGGGACCGGATCTGCCCTGGTTGGGGGCTAGATGGGCAGGAGCTGAGATCTACTTCGCGCTGGGCCAAACTCTGGGCACAAATCCACTGTTGGGAAGTGGGGACAGGTGGAGAAAACGCAGATCTTCACGTTGCACAGCAGTGTTCTAATAGAGGCTCCAAGCAAGCAGGTCGCATCTCTCCCCCCTCCCCGCGCCCCCAAAGCATTACGCTACCCCAGAACAGATGACCAGGGCACGGGGGTTCCACTCCTGGGAAGGGTCCATTTCCAACACCCCTCCCCCCGGAGGGCCAGCTTCCCACCCTCGGAAACGCGACCCAGATATCCCTAGCGCTGCCCTCACTTCCCCTTAGGTCCTGAGTCCCTGCCTCACCATGCCGTCAGAGCAGTTGGAGCGCGGGCTGGACGCGTCTGAATCGCCGCTGTAGTGCTCGCCGCCGCGGCCCGGGGGCAGCGGGCCGGGCGCGTAGAAGGCGGCTGCAGCGCCAGGGGGCGCGGTGTCCTGGTCGCGCAGCAGCGCCTGCAGACCCTCAATGTAGCGGATGGCGTTGCGCAAGATCTCCACCTTGGGCAGCCGCTGGTTCGGGTTGCTCGACGTGCAGCGCTTAAGCGTCTCGAAGGCCTCGTTGACTTTGCTCAGGCGGCGCCGCTCGCGCATGGTGGCGGCCTTGCGGCGGTCAGCGTTGGTGGTCTTGCGTTTGCAAGCCTTGCACGCCCACAGTAGACAGCGGCCCGCCTGGTGGTGCCCACTGGGCGCACGCACATGCTCGTCCTCGCGCACGCCGGGAGCCGGGTGCGAGGCCGCAGGGAAGTGCGAATGTTCTTCTGGCTTCAGGAGCGCGCCCACGTGCACGAGGCGCGGGTCCAGGTCCTCGAAGAAGCGCAGGTCTGGGGAGTCAAAACATGGGTCGTCATAGAAGTCGTCGGCTGTGGTAAAAGAACAGAGAGAACCATCTGGGCCCGTCAAGTCCACGTCTCGCAGTGGCGGCGACAGCAGCTCCATGTCCCGGCGTGGGGCGGCGCAGTCCTGGCCTCTCCCGACCCACGCGGCAGGGGTTGCCGGTTACTTTCTGAGGCTCGGGAGCCCGGGTTCCGCGATAGCAAAATGCTGAGGGTCTGAACTTCCACCGACTGTCCTACACCCCGCCCTGTCCTGTTTGCCTGCCTCAAGGAAAGCGGCAGCGGCGATCTGGGGCTCCCCCACCCCAAGCTTCGCGCCAGGGGCCCGGGGCTATTTATCCCGTAGTAGCAAACCTCTGTGGAGCTGGAGCCGGAGGCTTGGGGCGGGGGCGCCCAAGGCCAATGGGAACACGGCGGGGCGGAGCTTGGGGTCTTCAGTGAAGTAGTTAGGGCCAGCGAGTGTCTCGTCCCCGCCCTGCAACACTCGCGCGCTCTACCCCGCTCCGCCCGAGGCGGGGAGGGAGACAGGGGTGGCAGCCCAACGCGGCTGCACTTGGCTCCCAGGCGCACTCTTTCCTAATCACTTTGGCACCCGACTGCTGTGCCTGTGGGAAACGCTGGCCGCGCGCGCTCAACTCGGTGCTGACTTTGTGTCTCTGTCCACTGATTTGTAAGGGACCCAGAAGCAGGGCGGTGGCAGGAATTAGAGTGGGAAAGATTTGGAGAGAGGCGCAAGGGCCACGGGCAGAGACACACTCAGAGCTGAGATAGTGAGACGGTGAGAGATAAACCCAAAAAGGTTGAAAGAGAGCAGAAAGCTACAGTCAGGGACAGAGAAGCGCCCAAGGAGAAACACTGAGACTCAGAGTCTCAGTGGGCGAGACGGCGACAAACTGGACGTGACGGTCGTGTCACTTGGCTTGTCTTTGCCCCGAGAGTCACTCAGAGGACCATGGGCCCAGCCCATCTTTCTGGACGCTTAGAATCTACTCGCATCTGTACAGGAGTCGGGGGTTGCTGTTAAACCTTTAAGTCACTCTCTCCAAACCCGGACTCTGCCCTCGCCTGGAGGGAGGGTGGAAGGTGGACTCTCGCCCAATTCAACCTGTGGGTGGCTGCAGCCGGAAGTCCAGTGCTGCGGTCTGGGGTCTAGGCTGAGCTATCTCTTCAGTTGAGAAGACAGTTGTCAACTGGGAAGACAGTTCTGTTCTGGGCTTGCTTCTACCTCACGCGAAGTTCTGCGCCAGGAAAGTGCATTACTCAAAGGTCGAGAACGATGGGATCCTGCCTGAGGACCTCGTAGCTGTCGGTCTTTGAGAATGGAATTTGTGTACCAAGGGCCTAAGTTTAAGTCTGCTCCACAGTTTACTAATTGTGATTTTGTGGAAGGCACATCTTTTCCCTAAGCCTCAGCCTCCTCACTTGCCTGTTTGGGAATGGTAGAGATCTCCTGGAGTGATTGTGGTGTTGTTGAGAATTTAGAGACCAAGACATGGAAGTCCTGGGTTAGAGGTGCAAGGCTAAGAAAGGGAACAAGAGAGAGCTTGCTTCTGTCGCCCTCGCCCTCTCCTGCTGGGCACAATGCTCCCTGCTGGCTTCCCAGCTGTTGGCTGGAGTGCCAAGTTCTGCTTGGGGCCCATGCAGTTTTGGGGCTCAGGTCCTCCAGAGGCCTTTGCTGAGTCTCTTCCCTGCAAGAGCACTGGAAAAGCTGGGGACTAAAGGTGGAAGTAGCCACCCTAGGAGTTTCTGGCTCAACCACCATCCCAACCCCCTGGGGCCTCTCTGTCTCTTCCTAAATCTGCAGTCCACACCTTCCTCTCAGCCCCTGAGCTTTCCCAGGGTAGAAGTCCCCCTTGGACCAAACACTCCTGTGAGGTCTCTCTTGCTGGAGTCCAGAAATTTAACAAGAGTCATCTCTGTGCTTGTGGTGTTCCTAGCTGGCCTTTCTGGGCCATGGGAAGCCCATCCTTTCCATCAAACCTAGAGGGCTCTTCTGGGGCTCTGCCTTCTCCAATCATCTGCCACTTGTGGTGGAGCCCTTCATGAAGTACCCTTCTCTTCAAACATCACCTTCATTTATTCATGTAGCAGCCACTATGTGCCAGGTTTTGAGACCACAGCAGTGAACAAAACCAAGACCCTGCTCTCATGGTGACAGGCAATGAACAAATAAGCAAGAAAATATATGATGCCAGGAGGCTGTAAATTTTATGAAGAAAAACAAAGCAAGGCAAGAGGATAGAGTGGGAAAGAGTACTATTTCTATGTAATGGTCAAGTCAGGCCTCTCTGGGTCAGTTACATTTGAGCAGAAAAATGAATGAAGGGAGGGAAGAAGCAGATATCTGAGACCAGATAGAGCGAAGAGCATGCACAAAGGTCCTGGGGCAGGACTGTGTGTGGCAGTTTTAACGTATAGCAAGGAGCATGGTATGTCTGGAACAGGATTAGCAAGAGGAAGAATAGTAGGTGGTGGGGTCTGAAAGGTAACCAAAAAAAAAAAAAAAACCCTCACTGCTGTTGAATGGGATCTGACTCATAGTGACCCCTCCTTGGGTTTCCGAGGCAGTATCACTATGGACGTAGCTTGCCCTATCTTCCTTCCGAGAAGTTGCTGGTGGATTTGAACCACCAGCCTTCTCATTAGCAGTCAAATGCCTTAGACACTACACTAGCAGAGCTCCTGGAAAGGGAACAGAGAGATTGTATTCTGAGAGGAAAAGTCATTGGAGGGCTTGACCAAAGGAAAAGAATCTCACCATCTGCCTTACATTTTAACAAGAGCATGTAGGTGAAGGACAAGGGCAGGAGCAGGGAGACAAATTAGACAAATTAAGAGGCTTCTGATGTAATCCAAGTGAGTGGTGATGGTGGCTTACATCTGGGTGACAGCAGTGGAGATAGTGAAAGTGGTTGAATTCCAGATATAGATGAAGTTATTAATGATTGGATGTGGACAGTAAGAGCAAGAGGCAGCAAAGATGACTCCTGGAAGAACAGTGTTGGGGAGGAGCAGGTTTAGGAGGTGGCAGATCAAGAGTCCACGTTAGAGCATTTAAAAAATGAAATACATATCAGACATCCAGGTGAAGATGTCAAGTAGGCAGGGGGATTTAGGAGACTGGAGTTCAGGAGGGGAGGTCTGGACTTGAGGAAGACCCATCCACCCTACCTCTAAGACACCTCTCAGATTTGTCCATCCCCACTATCACTACCCTGGACTAAGCTGCCATCACTTCCAACCTTAACAACAGCATTAACCTGGCTGCTCTCCTCACTACCACTCTGGTCCCTGTATAATCCATTCACTATACAGCAACCTGAGCAAACCTTTAAAAGGGGATTATGTCTTTCTCCTCCTCCAGACTTTCCAATAGCTTCTCATTGCATTTAGAGTAAAATTTCATCTCCTTCCCTGGCCGATAAGGTCCTGCATGATCTGGCCTCAGCCTCTTACTCCAACTTCATCTGGAACCACCACTGCCTTTGAGCCATCATCCCCAACTCCATTTCTGTTAGCCTGCTGCAGTCCTGCCTTGGAGCCTTGTTTTTGCAGCTGAAAATTCTTCTTCTTTTTTTAAATATAATTTCGTTTATTATTGTTGTTGAGAATATACACAGCAGAATATACAACAATTCAACAATTTCTACATATACAATTCAGTGGCTGCTCTAAGTTTATAACACTCTCCTCCCAGCTCTTCCAAAGGTTGGCTGCTTTTCATATATCAGGTCTCAGTGAAACATTGCCCTCTTGGATATTTCTGACCATCCTCTCTAAAGTAGCTGCACCCCTTACTCTGGGGCCACATCACCCTGCTCATTTTCTTTTTAGCACAACCATAATTTAACTGTCTTTCTTATTAGTTTCTTCACTGACTGATGTAGCTACATGAAGGCAAGGACTTTTTGTTCACTGTGTCATTTCCAGAAACTATCCTAGAGGCTGTCACATAGTAGCCATTTGATAAGTGTTGAATGAATGAATGGGTGACCCTATGTCCTTTGACTATCTCTGCATATGTTGGAACTTCTTGAAATGTGTTCCTAGTAAGGATTGTTGTATTGCTTCAAAAGTGGACAGTCACACACATGACTAGGCATGCATGCTTTGAGCTGAAATAATTGCCAGGTAAGGATCAGGCCCATCCGCCAGATGCATGTTCTCATGTACTAGGAATATCAGTGGTGTAGTGCCTAAGGCATTTGACTGCTAACCAGAAGGCTGGTGGTTCAAACCCACCAGCCACACCTAGGAAGGAAGGTTGGGCAAAATCTATTTCTGTAAGGATACCACCTCAGAAACCCCAGGAAGGGTCACTATGAGTCGGATCCAACTGGATGGCAGTGCGTTTGGTTTTTTGGTTTTGCTGCAGTATTGTAATAGCATACTATAGACAAGTTTGGTGGTTGTTATAAGCTTGAGCCTTTTCATCTGACTGATATTCTTAATGAGGAATGTGGAAGATTGTTATATCAGTGACTTAGATTGAAACCAATATTTCTGCCTACCTGTTCAAGCCTCAACAGATTACCTGGCACAGAGTTTTTGTTCGTTGCCTTCAAGTCAGCTCTGACTCATGTACAACAGCAAACCAGAGCCCAGTCCTGAGCCATCTTCACAATCATTGATATCCTTGAGTCCATTGTTGTAGCCACTGTGTATTTTTAATGCCCTTCAACCTACTGGGCTCTTCCAGCACTGTATCAAACAATCTTCTCTGTCATCTGTAGGGTTTTCATTGACTGATTTCTGGAAGTAGATCTTTCTTGCTACTCTGTCTCAGTCTGAAAGCTTCACTGAAACCTGTCCATCATGGGTGACCCTGTTGGTATTTAAAATACTGTTGGTATAATTTCCAGCATCATAGCAACATGCAAGCTACCACAGTATGACTAACTGACAGATGGGTGGTGACACATAGTAGAGCCTCAATAAATATTTGTTGGATGAACAAATGAATAAATCCTCTTAATTGAATAGTACTCCAATATTTCCAGGTGAACTCTACAAGCCACTCAGCTGTACACATCCAGATTTTCCCCAAACTTGAGCAACAAAAGAAAATACAGAAACACAATGGATACTGAGAATGACATGATT